ATGGAAATATGTGAGACCTACATTTCATCCTTGTACATCTGCCTTTCGAGGGATAAGTACTCCGACTGAAATAGTTAAAGATAATCAAAAAATCGCGGATATATTAGCAGACTTCTACGAAAACCATTTTAAAGCACCTCTGCACAATACGAATAACCCTCACCATTTACGAGCGGTCGAATTATACGACCAAATTTCATACGTACCAAATATACCACTTTCTAAAATCTCTTTCGATGAGGTACAAAAGCAATGGCAAAAATTCAGGCTCAGAAATTCATCAGATTCAGTCGGTACATCAGCTTTTTTACTAAAAAAACTTCCACCAGAATATTTAAACATAATCACAATTGTATTTAATAAATGCGCTGAAAAAGGAGATTTTTTTGAAGGAGCAAAGCATGCAAAAGTAGTTTGTTTATCAAAAGAAGGTCTATATCCGCAGGAAAGTCGACTCCGCCCTATCTCTCTGCTTCCCAATATTGGAAAATGGTTTGAAAGGATTGTTCATCAACGTATTTTAAATTGGTGTTGCGAAAAGGGTATCTATGTTGATGAACAATCAGGTTTTACACCCGGAAGAAGGCTGCAAACACGGATATTATCTTTATGCGAAGATTTAAGACTAACAATTGCTGCCAGTAATCGTCCCGCATTAATAATCTTCGTGGATTTTATGATTGCCTTTGATCGGATGTGGTTTCTAGCTCTGATAAGTAATTTATTAGAACTGGAAATGCCGCTGGAACTGGTCCGGTGGATTTATCTGTGGCTTCAGAATAGATCTCTCTCAATCTCCCACGATGAAGCCAGCTCAAGAGTAATAAAACTTTTTGTGGGAACTCCTCAAGGTTCAGTACTTGCTGCTACATTATTCCGCCTTCACGTCCATTTTCTTCCTAAATATTTCATGCAACTAGTTACACATTTATTTGCGGACGATCTGGCCCTTGTTTTTTTCGGATCATTGGAGAAGCGTTTTTCTGTGAATATTGAGGAATTAGAACAACGGGCTAGGATAGCGCTAGGTTCATTAGCTAAATTCGCGGATGATATCATTCTACCGGTTAATGTATCAAAAACAAAGGCAATGCTCATCCACAGTGTAGTTGCTCCTCAATATCCATACTTAGAATACAAAGGAATTAAAATTGACTTTGTAAAAATTTTCAGATATCTAGGTGTTGAGATATGTTCAAAATTAGGATGGGAAGTTTTCATTCAAAATCGTTTAAAAATAATCAGGAATATATACAACGCGTTGCGAGTTCTATTTCGTTTTATCCCCAAAAAAGATATCAAATTAAGAAGACAAATTTTCCTTGCTTTCGCACTTCCGCATTTTATTTGGGTATTCATTACCTGGTTCTTCTTCACAGAAAAACAACACGACCTCATAGAACATGCTTATGCAACCGGTTTACGAATCATCTACGATTTACATGGATGGGATGACTTAACCACACTGGTGTTGAGTAGAGATTGTTTCGTTAAGAGATTACATTTTTAAGTACTGAAAAAGATTTACTAAACATCTAGAGAAAGCCCCAGAAGCAACCCAATATCAACACACGCGGTGTGCTTTTCTGGCGGTAACGTCTCACCAAAACGAATGGTATAAAAATCTTGGTTTTAGGAAAAATAGCAACTTTTTAAACCGTATGCGTATAAATGCAAGGCATAGTCACACAGACTAGATATTTTTCGAGAATATCCAAAACAAACAATATGGATACTTTAGAAGAAATACACAGATGCTAGAGTTTTTTTGCGTATAAATATTTTCTTCAATCATCCTAAACCTCCCAATGCTCAATAAGATAGTTAAGATAGTTAGAGAATTTTAACACGGTCTGGTTATGCATTATCACTAGTAAAGTTAATCTTTTTCTTTTCTTTGTTGTTTTAATCTGTGGATTACACAATCGAGCTGTTTTATTTTTCACACGACTGTTAACCCTTTTGGAACAAATAAACTTATTACCAATATTAAAAAAAAAAATACATGCCGATGTATGTATCAAGAATACAATCAAAGAAACCGAAATTATACAAAATAAAATAAATTAGAATTTAAATTTTTACATGCTTCCTAGTCGTAGATGACATTAGTAATGCGAAGAGTTTTGATCATGTAAAATTATGAAATTTTTTATGGCGTATAGTCTTTACGCTTCTTTGCTGAACGAAATTTCTTTACAACTATTTGGACTATATACTTCGATTAACCGTAGAGAATAAAACTTCTTATATTGACTGAATGCTTGAGAATAAAATAAGAAAAGTTATTTTAACAGGTTTTGTAAACTGTATAGTTAATTAAGTTCAACTAACTTTATACAAATATATCTGATAGAAATTGTCGTCGCAAATGAATAGTATAATTCACATAAATCATCGGGAAATAAGCACGGAAAAGCACATTTATACGTCGTTGTGTATACGGTCAAAATCAAAATAAAACATATCGTTTTCACACACATAATGGCACAATACAAAGTATGGGGAAAGTGGAGAAAAAGCAGTAATTTCCACGCAAAACCAGTTTTTCGCTCATCTCTCGAAAAGTAGACTTTGCACCAAAAAACGGATCGCAGATTTGGAATCTACGTGCAAGAACAGGCCAGAATATGTATACTGTTTTCTTCTAAACCGGACGAAAAATGATTTGCCTTACTTTTAAAACGCGTTTGTGTAAATTGGACCAGGCTAGCGTCTTGACATCCAAAAATCAGGCGATTCTGTTCAGATTTTCCTTCTGTTCAAGCTGCTGATGTAACGACGTTGCCTATTACGAAAAGGAGTTAACAATCTACTTTTTGTGCCCCGCGAGAGCATACAAATGATTTCTATACAAGTATTTTGTAGCATTTCTTACGAGGGAACCGCCCGAGGTGCCCAAAGCCGATTCCCTTCGTTCATAGGCCGTTTGATAGAGGGCATCGAAATAGTAAAAAGCCTAAAAGGATTTGTGACCACGGCTCTTTCTTGAAAAGTTAGGGCCAATTTTCTGTTCTTCCCAGCTAAAATGGCCAAAATTTGAAAACCTTACAATTCAGTCAAGAAAGATCGTATAACTTGAAATTTTCAGCACTACAAGCTCATAAGTACTGCCGATCAATCTGAAAACTCTAGATTGTTTAGTTGTTTCAAGTAACAGCAGTGCTTGATACAAGCTCAGATGGATATTCTTTTTGTCTTTCTGTTTCTTCACGCGATAAAATAGAAAAAGAGAAAATGGAAAGAAAAACATATATATTCAGAACAAAAAAAAAAGAGAGAAAGTAATAAAACTTTAAACCTACTATACGGTATTAAAGTGTCACTGCCCATACTTTTGGTATGCCCTAAGTATTTCTGATGTATTTTCTATACCAGCTATTTTCGAAGAGTTTATTCAATGAATCCATATCTTTCTAAACATATACCTGGACGTGCCGAAGTGGAGGTGTCGGAGGAGGAGGGAGGATGCCATGAGAGTGGGTCGCGATCGTTATCTAATCGGTAATCTCAACTAGTCAGAAAATAATAAAGAATTCGCAATCGATTGTGATCTGAAGTAGTGGGAGAAAAGATAAACATTGCAAGTCTAGAGCCAGTATGAAGACATGTCGCGTACCGAAATAGTAAAAAATAATTCAGTTCGCCGTGAATGCGAATTTTCCATGAGCTTCTAAGAATATTATTTTCCCCGAAAATGCTAATTATTTAGTCAAAGAATGGATCACTATCACCTGATACAGAGACGGCTAAAATATTAGTTAAAACTTTCGATTGTCAGTGGAGGGGTGCAACCAAATTTGAATACGAAACTTAGTTTAAGCCAAGATCCATTGTCAAATTCATCAAATTTTTTATTTTATTTTCAATCAAAATAATGGGGCTAAAACAAGTTTATACGGCGAGGACCTCCAAAAAACTTCGGTGGCGGCACCGAAAATAAAAAAAAAATTATCCATCAGCGGCGGCGGCGAGGAACTTCAGAAAAGTTCGACGCCTTCGGCGACGGCGGGACCGAAAACTTTGATTATCTATCGGTGGCGGTGGTGGCGGTGGTAGCGGCGCGGCGCACAGGTCTAGATACAGTTACACATCATTTTCAGTTGCTTGAATAATGTCATCGAAATTTCTTTGATATGATACACTCCACTAGCAGTATGGCTTCTAGCATTATTAGAACTATTTCTTCGTTTTTTTAAGCACAAAATGATCATGATCTCGTAAGCCACTCAGATATCTCTCGTTACTGCCGTTGGCAATGAAACTAAATTTTAATTTTCTATTTGAATTTCCAATATGCTTTAATTTCAATGGAAAATAGAGTCCTATCCTGTTGTCTGCCTGTACTCATCCGGTGTGATATTTAAGAAGATCATCAGGAGTAAAATATTTCTGTAATCAAGCAATCCAGAAGAAAGTACCCTAATATGGTACTCAAATAAGAATGGAGTTCAATAACAGAAAAAAATCAGGTATGCCAATATTGTTTTTATCGTTCCGTGATGGTTTTGAACGAAGAACAAATATTGGTTTATAATATCCCTTCGACAGACACTAAATTAATGTGGAAATAGATCATCCTTATTTATATTCTCTTCGAAATCAATCAATATTCAGTGAAAATAACAAAGACGAATTGCAGAACTTACTGCACAATTGTTAAATGCTAAAATAGAAAAATGAAAAAAGTATCTGTCTAACCACATGCAGATAATAGAAAAATAAAGTTTCGCTAGATTTTCGAATGCCTGATACCTTGCTAAAAATATTTTCAGGCTAAACTTCTTTTTCAAGAAATATTAAGTGAAGTTTCTTACTCAAACCCAGACCATACAAATTTTTGAAAGCGCCAAGACATTTTTAAAACTTTTCATATTTCGGTTTTTCTCGTTATTTTCTTTATTTGTGAAATGTTCGCTTTTATTTATGTATTTGTGTTGTTTTTGCCTACCTCTGCGTTATGTACAACTAATGTGTTCAATCAAATCATTCCCAATGAGATGTATCAACTGCTCGACGATGCTTGTCAACGGCTAGCTACATTCAATTTTGACATTCCAGTGGTTCGACTTAAAGAGGCCATGTTGCCTCACACACTAACTGTCGTCGTTCGCCCGATACCACCAATTTTTAGTGGTCGAGTAGTGATTGCCGGGCACTTGCATATTGCACGACTCGAGTCAGACTCGATGAATTTTGAACAAACAGAACGTGAAGCTGTCGATTTGATGTTACAAAACTGCATATCTTACAGGCAAAATCCCCAATCCGTATTTCTATTGAAATTATCCAGAGGAATTGAACAGTATGAACTCATGATTAACACAGAAATTGAAGGTAGGATTAATGATGAGAAAATCTTTAAACTCTCTCTCCAATGTGTTGAACATATTTATGAGAAAATTGTTTCTAAAAGTAATGAATTTTATTGATCTGACAATAATCTCTCCATTGAGATGCGTTGCACGTAAGCCGCGATCGAACGTGCTTGTATTTTTTTAGGTACCTATGCGGGTACACTGCTACATGAATGCTATAGGTGTTTGAACCTTTTTCAAATAAATACCACTTGAGAGGTACCCAAGTACTTGCGCTGCACGTAGTATAGGTACCAAATTTTTTTCGTTCACCGTTTTGTTTCACGTACAGACAAACATAAAAGAACAATATATGTTCACAAGAACGACGCCGGCTTTTATCTTCAAACGATCACCTAAATCGGCTAGCCGTTTAGGTACCTGCTAAGTAATATTTTACTTGCATCAACAATGGCATTCTTGTAGCAGGGTATCTAACCCGGGCACCTACATTCAAGTATATTAGCATAGAGTAAGTCTTGAAACTTTCATCATAAAAAAACTTCAGAATGTCCTCTATAAACCTACATAGTTGCGACCTTTTATCCTCTTTATCGGTAAAGATTTCAAGCCTTCATGTGTTTTCTTTATGACAGAACATCTTCCTGACGTTGCGCTAAAACGCTAAATAATTGATACTTAAAGTTTTCATCCTTTGGATGGAGAGTACGAAGTAGCAAATCGGAAGTACCCAAACTTTGTCTAAATGAAACGAGTGAGACCGGCTTCTTAGTAATAGTTAGAAGATTTACACACTGAGTAAAAATTCTATCATCTTCTTGATACAAACTAGAACCAGAAAAATATTCAATAATTGTGGATAAGGTATAATTTACCAACACCTTTAGAGACATTGAAAATGTTATCTTTTCTTCTATAGTTGATCTGCCTGAATTACCGAATCGCACTCCAGTCGCGATTCGATGTGCACGTTGCGGAAATGAAATCGATCGTCATGATCCTCACTCAAGATTACACTCTTGTGGTCATATATTCCACGATCGATGCTTACAGGAACATTTGAATCCATTCGAGAGAAAACATCGTCGTTATACGTGTCCTCACTGTCATACGCTCTTCGCTCTCATTCCTCACTCAGATCCTCAAGATGAATGTGCTGTATGCAGAGAACCATTAGGAGACGAGAGTGAACGAACAGTGACACTGTGCAATCACGCATTTCACCGCCAATGTCTTATTCGCTGGTGTACAATGAGTCCGCCTGGAAGCTGTCCCTCATGTCGTCATCCTTTTCCCACAAATCATCCCTATAGACCACCAAAAGACAGCCGCAACAACAAGCCTTGTGTCATTCAATAAATACTTACATATAATTAGGTTGAACACGTATAGACACACAACATTTAAAAACAAGTTTGTTCATAATTGATACGATTGAGATTTTATATTAATTTTCCTTCGATAGCAGGAACATCGCTCTTTGTTATGTATTTACTTTTTTGAGCTGCTTTACCAGCACTGAAGACATGATCGACAAGTCCCAAAGCCGGAATTTGGGATCGTTCGCTTTTCAGCGTACAAGATTATTATATAATAAATAATCAAGAAGTTTGTTGTAAATGATTTTTTCTCATACCTTACTTACAACGAACGCATAGCAATGATATGAATCTGTAATTGAGATGTTTTGTGTGGCTGGACAACTTTCCATTGGTGTGGAAATTGAGCCTATGAAAATATACAATAGTTGCTTATCGAATAATAGTAAACGGAGTTTAATTACTTTTAGTAGAAAACCACTCGTCCCGCCATTTTCGATACCTCATGAATATGTTTCCAATAGTCATCATTTCTTTTCAGAGTGCTAAATGGTCATGTATAAGTTTTGATGTTGAAAGTAGGAGGAAATTCTAAAAATGATTTGCGACACTTTTTAAAAAGTTACTGAAAAGGAAAGGAATGAATTAGAGACAACCCGCAAAAATTATTAGTTGCAAATTTCTAGTTTTCATCTGCTGTCACGATTAGGCATGCACCGATTACAAATAACCGACGGTCAACCGATCAGTTGCTTAGTTAACGAAGCAACCTTTATACGAAAACTCGATAAGTTCTTACTCTGGACCTATCCGTTACAATTGATTATAAGCATGACCAATAGCGGTTAGCGGTTTTCATTGGTTAACGGAAACCGAAATAAGCGTTGCATGTCTAGTCAATATTCCTCAACTTCTGTTAACCTCTCTTTCACGGGCACGATATTAGGTGGACGCAGATGAACCTTATTTGTCATTAGCAGGAAAAGGCATTATTTAAAAATAACGCTAGAGGATTTAAAAGCCATTTTTTGCCTTGAAAGTCCGAAGATCAAAGAATAATCTTTTTCTTGAACGTCTCATATGAATAATGCGGTGGCAATTACAGCAACATACATTAAATCATTTTTATCAACATCAGTTGATCGTCAAGTAACAGAAATGTTTACTGGTGACGGGCAACAATCGAATATGAGAGAAACAATTGATCATCGGCCAATCCAGTTTTCACTATGTCAATATTTGGCAAAACAAAATTCAACATGAGACAAAGTTTGATCTAACTTAACTTTTCACTGTAATATCATTTGTTTAAGGTGATCGAAAAAATCACCGTTTTTCATATTGCATATTTACTCCTGGTTCGATTAGCAAGCCTAAAGGTATATTGATTAAACATAAAAGTGTTCAAAATCAAATTCAGGCTTTAAATCATGTTAATTGGGTAAATATGAATAATACAATGATACACATAGCACCATGTTCTTCTGATACGCATTTATCAAAAATTTATGGTTGTTTTTATTATGGTGCACAATTAATTTGTTTACATCCACAAGATCTACTTGATTTAGATTATTTATCAACAACAATTCAGAATCATCAAGTATCACATATCGATGTTGTACCCCAATATGCTAGTTCATTATATCGATTTTGGGAACAAAAAGAAAAATTTAAAGATCATCAATTTCATAAATACGATCATTTTCACTTGCAGGTTTGTTAAATGACCTGCTCTATAATACGTTTATTAAATTTACTTTTTTTTAGGTGACACAATGACACCAAAAATATTGAATAGTTTTTTATCATATTTTACTACAAATTGTGAAATTATTAATTCCTATGGTCCGTCTGAAATAACGAAGATAATGATTTCTGTTAATATCAATAAAACTCTACTTAATTGAGAAAAGGTCTGATGTTTACCAGATGATACTTGTCATGGACTCTGCGAATGATAATCTGACGTTGACCTTCAAAAAATATTTTTCATTCTCAGATTTTACGTCGCTGCTCTCTACTTGGAAAACCTAGGAGCAAACAAAACTCTTCGTTTTTTGCTATAAGTGAACTCCAGTTCTGAGTAAATGCTCTTTCTGTAATTTAAGTGTAATTTCTCAAACTTCTTCAGCTGAAATTTCTTCCGAAGGCGAAAGAAGAAACCTTTACGAAGATACTAAAGACAGTTTACAGTTTAAAGACCAACGAAGAAAAAGTCGTTGAGAAAGTAAAAAATAAATTTGGAAGAGAATTGGGCAGCGCCATTATGTGAGAAAGGATCAAAATATAGGTTTCCAAGTTCGCTCTAATTAATGAGTATTACAAAATGCTTCCTTCAGAAATAAAGCAGTTACTTTACATACTACATGACAGATATGGAGGATCTCAGCAAAATATCACGCCGATTACCATAAAGTCGCGCAATCACTGGCAATTCTGATAAAATGATATGAGACGACATCTCAAAAACAGTAATTCCCATAAGATAAATCGTCATCAAAATTTAACATCGTCATAAAACTTCCGCTCCGAAAAGAAATTAAAAATACCCAACACCATTAGGTGGTTTTCCCTCTAGTCCTCAAGCCGTCAAGAATAAAATACATAGGGTATTACGCTGATTACACATGTGTCAGCATTATCTGAGTTACGTTATGCTCCTCATTTCTGTGTAACGAGGAATGAAAATAAGAAAAGACAGTTTTCTTAGGTAGAACAAATTCATATTTTTGCTTTCGCTTTGTTTATGATTAATTGGAAAATGACGTAATGAAGGACAGATTTTCGCCTTACCCAGTCAGTCATAGTCATTCCAAAAAAGCGAAGAAAACTCTGTTTACGAAACATTTTACGCGTTTAGCGAGTTTCGAATAATAACACGCAAGAACCTGCGAGTGTGTAAAAATAAACCGCACGAATACGCGTGTAAAGCCTTTGTTTCCACGGCGACGTGCGTTTCCTGCGGTTTATTTTTACACACCCGCAGCTTCTTACGCGTTTTTATTCGAAACTCGCTAAACGCGTAAAATTTTTCGTAAACAGAGTTTCCTGCGCTTTTCTGGAATGACTATGACTGGGTAGATAACGGAAATTCGCGCAGTCGGTCATTGTCATCTTCATTGGAATTTTTCCTTAATTGCAATAAGGTGCTGTAATTTTCTGAATTTTGTAATCTAGTTCAAATAACACCAGTTTGAGGTAAGCATTTATTAAAACAATTTATTACAAATTTTAATTCTGATGACAAACATAATAGTATTAATCGTCACAATGTATTGAAAATTGCACGTATTCTATGGTAAAGTTCAGTGTGCCTTAAATCATTGATGTTATTTCGAATATTTGTTCAAAATGATGATAAATTTGTTACAGTTAATGATATAAAAGAATTTTATAAAGGCCAGATAAGTCAAGCAACGCGTCATTACTTTTCTCTAACTAATAGAATAGAAATTGACCCCCTGAGATTAAATTGTCTTTCCGATATTCTCTTGAAGTTATCCATCCATCCGCATCACATCAATTGACGTGCAGCCAAACTCGAACGATATTCTGTATGGCAGCTAGCGATGAGTTGAATTCTCCGCGGTACATTTTTGACGGTAAGACGAAGACGATAAAAGGAAATGCAGGTGGTATAAAAGAGATAAAATAGCCAAGCAAGAACACTCCGACTGCATCACGCGGAGACTTCATACATTCGAGAATAAAGGCGAGAATGAGGCGAGGTAAAGCTAAGATGACTAGAATAAGAGGACTAATAATCAGGTATTTGTTTTGATGGAACTGAATGCGGAGGTGAGTGCCGTGAGAGACACGCTGTTGAACATTCGATCGGCGTCTGGATATAATAATAATGATGCAGAAAGCCGAAATGATATTGATGGAAAATGGGCCGAGAAAATGTACGACGTTCATGACCGATGTGTATGTGATGAGCTTCCTCGAATAAGAGTTCGGGTAGCGTACAATACACCACATTCGTCGTTCTTCCCGATCATCAATCAGAGTTCGATGGAGAGGCTCATGAATCATGGTTACATTGACGAAGAAAACGACACCAAGAACAATCCATTTGGCCAGCTGTTTGCTGTGTTCCTTTTTGAAACTCACTCCCTTAGTAACAATCACTAAACGATCGATTCCTGCACATGCATATAGCCAGTCGCCGGTCTGCAAGAATACTTTGAGTAGAAAGTCAACCAACATGCATTGACCAATCAGAACTGTTCGATCAGTGATAATAACCAATTGAACCAAAACAAACAAGACAAACTTCACAGTGAACATAATGATGGTGAGAACGGATATGATCGAAGCGAAGAGTAAATAGATACCTGACCCTACTTCCCGAGAACGTTTACTTCGAAATGTCAATATGGATAGAAACCCATTGACAAGACCAGCTACAAGGATTAGAATAGTAGCGATTCCACTCGCTTTAAGCGTCAACGGTTGACGATTAAATGATAGTGTAGGCCAAATTTGATGACCAAGTATAGCATCAAATGGAAACCCAAAACCTCGAGTGGACAATTGACAGCGAGTGCCAAAGAAGCATACAGGACAAGCGCATATGATTGCCGTTGGACAAGTGGCATTGTTTTGAAAACATTGACCGCCATTTTCACAATAGGACATTTGTCGACAACTATGTCTCATACGTCTATCGAATATGAAACAATTGGCACGACGATCATGTGTACACAGACACATGAACTGATGGTCATCGTGGAAACATTTGAGATTAGGCCGCCGTTGACATGGGATATGATAGTACTTGACGCGCCGAAGTGGTGGAAAGGCAACAATTGTACTATTCAACAGCTCTGGAATGGGTGGACACTCCTGACCGTGTTCAATTGAAGAACTGAGCCGAGAGGACCTATCATACTTGTGTTGGAGAAGCAGAAGATATATCTTAGGGCCGAATTCGGCGAAAAGAATATGAAACGGATTAGTCCAATAGACAACAACCGATTCGTGATCAAACGGAATTTTTTTGAATGTTGTTGTGTATTCATGTGGACCCCAATCTGTCGAGGGCAAGAAGGAAATCGCCGGGGGATGTGAACGAACAGTAATGAAATGAAGAAGAAGTGATTCTGGAATAGTTGATCCAGAAAACGAACTAAAAGAAATATTGATTTGAGTGTCTGCGAACTGGCATGTGTTGCCGGAAAAACCTTCCGGACATGTGCATACAGTATCAAGATCTGCAGTAATTCGAATGTCTCGCGGAACGCATTGAATCCCGTTGGTACAGTTGTTCTTAGTTGTTTGACGTTGACAGAAAGTATTCGATAAATAACATCGTGGTCCGAACTTATGTAAAGGACAGACACAAATCGATCTGTTATTCCAAGAACCCACACATAACGAACTGGGAGAACAGTTGCATGTATAGAAGTTCATACACGTTAATCCTGACCAGTTTGGTTGGTATCGGCAAAAGAATTTGCCAGTATTTGTGTATTCCGTGCACTGCCCGTGTGGTAGTTTGCACTTCAGAGGACAGTAGGTGCTCAACGAGGTATGTGAAATTGGCACCATCAGTTGAATGGACAAACGATAGATTGGCAGAAATGCGTGCTTGATATCAAACGACCAACTTACACGATAATTAAGTGTGCTCGTTTCGAACGCATCGATTCGCACCAAATAAGTACGATTTGAAGCTTTCGGTCTGGTGGAGTAGAGTAAATGGAAGTTGAACTTGGTGCGACAGTCACGAGGGGATAGATAGGTAATCTGATTGTACGAATGAACAACGCGATGCGTATCATCCAGAAGATAGACAACGAAGGTGAATACTGTTCGCCATTCAGTAGAAGCAATTTGCATGGTCAAGCTGACACGCTGACTTTGATATTCGCATCGTGTACCGTAGAAAGTTGACGGACAGAGGCACTTTTCTTCGGCTTGGTTCATTGATGATATTGAACCATCACGTAAAAAACGGACGATAACACCGCCATGGCAGTGGAATGTGTTAGGTAGGATTTGCCTCTGAAAATCGACCATGCGGTCTCTTCGTTCAAGTACATTTTCAGTAAATATTGCCTTTTGATAGGTGAGACCCCGATTTATAGGTGGATGAATGCTGTAATTTGCGAGCGAAAAATGAGGAGCAGCGTTCATGCCGAGGTCCCACATGGTGGCCTTGATTATGTCGTCCAGACTGCAGATAATGTTTTCGCTTATCAAGGGTCTGTTCATACGATGTACTGCCATCCTGCTTAATACGTCACAGCCACCATATTTGCATAAATCAACGAATTCATCATCGCCGAAAAGTGCACAGTCAGGTTTACCATTGCAGATTTGATCGACCGTGATACACTGGTCCGTTGTCGACTGTTCATCGATGGAACTGCAACAGACGCAATTTGTTAGTAAGTGAAGTAGAATTTGTTGATAAGTGAAACTGTTTTTGCTCGATTCATCAAACTCATATTCGGCACCCTGATGGTCTCTTCTGGCTTTTCTGATAGCGCTCGATGTCTGTTCTCAAAGACGTTTTTGATTTAGTGGACAGACACAGATGGTCTAATCCCACTTCAAATTAATACTAGATAGGGATCTTTCCACCGAAGTCTGCTACTGTAGGAATGATTCCGTAACGATTTTTCACAAAAGTGAAATGCTCACAACCTTTTAACTAAAAATAGTAGAGAGTTGAACAACATTTTGTTGAAAGAAGTGATGAAGCTCATCAATATAGGATCTACGCTAGTTCTTCAAAAACTTTCGTTGAAGTGAAAAAAATGTGAAAATTA